CCTACTCAGGACTTATTTATCTTATCCAAAATACCAACACCCCCCAATCAACCAAACCACAATAAATTCAACAATATAACCAAATAAATCCTAACCTAACAAAAAAATTCTAACCTACCTCCCCCACACATTCCATACCATCTTATTTCCCACCCTTCAAACCAATCAAATCATAAAATCCCATACCACACCAACACCATATACACACCAAATTCCCAAACAATAAACCCCCCCATATTTCACTATAAAAAACCAAACAAACCTCCCCCACCCCCCCCCCCCCAACACACCAACCTCCCCCCTCCCCCCCCCCTCTCCCCCCCCCCCCCCCCCCCCCCCCCCCACCCACCCCCCCCCCCCACCCACACAAAATAACCTAAGAAAATATATAAGAATTATATATATTTATATATTATTAATCTCCCATAGAAATAGACAGAACAGTAATTTTAGTCCAAATATATAACCCAATTTTTTCTCACCCTTATATATATTATTCATTCTTGGCAAAGCCACAGGACGCCTGCGCCTACAGAGGGACCATGGATGGTTTGCGCTGCACCACCCACAGCTCCAACCACATACCCCATATCCAATGTAAATCCGAAGGAATAAGACCGGGAAGCATGTGGATGAGAGGCACGTTTCATCAACGGAGCCGGCCCACACTCCTTCACAGGCAAACACAAGCACGCTGTATTTGGGGAATCAAGTGCACATAAGGCGGTGGCTGGACCGTAACCCGTTCCACGCAGAATGGAACCACTCTTTGAGCCTAGCACCGTCACGAGGACGGTGCCCCGCGTCCGCACCAGCAACGACCAACTGTCTCCTGGAGCCAATATGGACGAGGTAGTGGGTAATGGACAGGTAAGCACCTTGTCAACATTCACATCAGGCGCAGCCACACCGGGGAGCTCAAACAACATCTACTTGTGAAATGCAAGATTACTCATCACACAGGCAAACGTACCACATACGCCGCCTTATTGGCCGTTTCTGTCCAGTGCCTTGACTGGTCAACATTCGTAGTTTTTAGTGTTTTTCGTAACTTATATACATAAAAATATAAACAATTCTGCTGTATCTATAACTGCCAAAAAGGTATTATCAATAATCTTCATTTCACAGCCCGGACACTGTTTGTACCCTGTTGGATATGATAGGAAAACTTTAGACTGATACATGCTCAATGTTATGTCAGGAAAAAGCAGATGCAGCAGTCGTATGTTGTAAATGGTAAACGAAGAAGAAACAACCGTTTGAACGACGCGGATAAAACCTTTAACATTCAGCTGATCGATCAATCAGCATTGAGCGAAGTTTAACCATTTCGAGTAAGCTCTAGGTAGCAAATCACAATAACATCTTCCTTGTCGGAATATTTGTTTCATGCAGTTTGGTAACTATCATCTGGCCTTGAAGTCCGTCCGAACCTGAGAACTTTGTGCAGCGGTGGATCAGTTTCCCACTGACTCACACGTTTCTTACCTGGCCTGGGAGGTCGATCCAATTGTTTTGTAAAGCCGAGGGGCGTTGTCAGGTCAAGCCACTTTGCAGTCGGCGCGTGTCCGGCGCACATGCGTGAGTGATTCTCAGCGGTGCGGACTGAGTCGGGTGACCCTTTACAGAACTATTTTTGATCCCAACTGAAGATTTCTGTTATAGTGGAATTGAAAATTTCGCGTAGGCTTATTGGTTTGCTTATTGGGTTGCACTGCAGTAAAGGACATACTGTATGTAGTAGTAAGTTTTGTGCGTAAGGGCCTTCCGATCTTTATCTCCGCCGGCGTTTTCTCTGTCCGGCTCCATGTTCACAGGTTCTGTATGGTTACAGCTCTAGTAAGGCTGCATCATGCCAAACGAACCCTCCTAATTTTATTGCCTGTATTGCCTCCTTGAGAGACCAGTTAAGCCGTATCGGGCGGAATCCTGTAGACCCACCCATTCCTGAGTAGGGTGGTGAGAGCGGAGTTGTCGGTTCGTAGAGTGAAATGACGACTAAACAGAAAAAGGTGTCATTTTTCATAAGCCCACACAAACAAGCGCTTCTTTCTCTCCCCAATTGAATAATGGCACCAGCATCTGAGAGTTTCCGGGATGCCTCAGCGACAACTTTCTCCATTCCGTTTTGAAGCTCTGAAAGAATAACACCAAGACCAAGATCAGTCACGTCAGCCAACATAAAAGTACAGCAGGATCGATCAAAAGTGGAAACTGAGGCAGTAGCTGTAACCCTTCCTTTCAGTTTATCAAAAACGATTTGTTTATCGCTTCCCCAGGTGAACGACGATCCTTTCCTTCTTAGTTGTCGCAATGGATCTACAGGGCTACAAATAGCGCAGGCTGCAAGAATACAGTACCGAAACAGACTTTAGTTCTGTCGCCTTCTTGGGCATTGGTGCGTCTGTTATGGCGCGGATCTTTTCATTGCTTTGACGAAAGCCGCTACGCGAGACGATGTGTCCCAGGAATTGAATCTCGGTGGCATTCGGATACAAGTCAAGATCCTTGAGACGTTGAAAGACTTGGTGTACTCTTTCGTCATGCTCTTCTAGTGAGCGGTTGAAAATACAAATATCAACAGTGTATGCAAGCATGTGGTCGAAGGCAACCATAGCGTTTCTTCCAAGCAAGAGTGATCTGTCGTTTGAAGAAATCCATACAGTAACATCCGCTGCGACCGAATGCAGCTGTAAGGGCACACTAATCAATTCCAATATGCTTAAAGTGTTTCCATTGTAACTCCAAAGTGAATGCGAATTGGGCTGTAAACTTTGCTGGGATAAGAAGCGTTCGTGAAATTGGAAATATACCATGGTAAATGGAGGAGCAACATTCAACTCCATTTCAACTGGAAATGCACCCTTACTGATAAGAATAGACACAGTACGAATATCAGCGGACGGAAACTATGGTTCCACAACGGACATTGTTACGCTGCTTGGGTTGTCGACAGTGAAGGAATACATAATATTTTGAGATGGAGCAGGGACATGACCTTCAGGTGTAGCATTGTCTTTGATGAATGCGATGGCCTGTGACCGACAATATCGGGCAAGATGCTCAATCCTGTCACAGCATTTGCAACTGAGGCTGCGTGCGGGACAAGCGACGAAATTGGCTTTGTGAAAACTACTTCCACCGCGATAACAAATTGGCTTGTCCGCTTGTACTCGTCGGGAATATTGCACCTTTGCCACGTCATCCGAATTGGTCGAACATAACTGTTTTAATTGCCGTGAAATTCCAGTTTCATTCTGGCTAAATCGTAAGCTCGGTCCCAAGTTAAGGTACACGCCTCTCCCTGCAACAGCCCCTCACATATACGGTTGTCAGCAACACTGGTTATTAGTTGCTGATTGAGCGTACATCTTCTTCAGCTTTGGGCTGGCGACGCAAAATTTTAGGTCATAAAGAAGCAGACGCAGCAGTTGTATATTGTGAGAGGTAAAGCAAGAAGAATCAGCACTTCGAACGACGCGGGAAAAAATTTAGATGTGCAATCGGCTTGGTAATGCGGCTGTTGCTATTCGTCTACGCATACAGAACGAACAGGTAATAAGCCACTCGATCGATTGTGTTCGCCGCCGGTCGAGCGGCAACGTCTACACGCGTGAGCGTGAATCGATTTGCAAACCCGCACGATCCAACTGGCTCGATCAATTTTAAGTTGCAACCAGAGGCAGGCAATCGATGAAGAACCTATCACAATCGCTCAACGGTGCGATGATTACCCTATAAATAACGAGTTCCCTTCTGATCCAAATAGATGCTGATCGAAGCCCAGTCTTCTTTTTTGTTCTTAGATGGCGCCACACGACATAATGAAAAATGTAGAAACCAGTGAGCAAGCAGCAGCTTTGTTTTAGCCGACAGCTATCTAACACGATGCCCACTACATTGCAGATGAATGGTAGCTCGTTTCCCAAATACTGGCGCCTGTGGAAAGCCAAGCGCATGGGTTTCGCCACACTGACTCAGTTGTACTATCATCCAGTTGATTGCCAGTTGGTGATGAAACAAGACGTGTGCTGAAGACAAACAAATCTGGAAGCGAACATCAAGAGCTCAGTTTGACTGAAGTGCTCCAAACTTTCGGTGAATTTTGTGAAACATATCAACGCTACTTGTTGTCTGGTCTGAAGTAACGTCCAAGTGAATCAGTAAATAACTACGTAACAGAGCTGGAATTGCTAGCATGCACGTGCAATGTTTGCGAATGCCTACGCGATTCGCTGGTGGGAGATCGAATTGTAGTGAGTATTCAGGATGAGAACATTACAATGGAACAATGGATGGATTTATGCGGGTATAAAAGCTAAAGCTTGACAAATCCCGTAGGGTGATCAGTGCGAAAATCATAGAAGTGTGGAAAATTCAATGGAAACCAATTCAGTAAAATCGTTTAACAACGAGTCACTACAAGCTTGTGGACTCACCGAGTTTGAAGTGTCAAAATAATAATCCACTCCAACTCGGAGGGAATCACGAGGCATGGAGTATTTGGTTAAAAGAGTCACTGCCCCTTGAAATTCGCATGGCGCAGTGTTTGAGTTTGAAGCGTCCAAATATACATCCACTGTTGAAATAAGCGTAGGGGAAAATTATGTTTAAAGTATGGATTTTGGATCTCTCAAAATTAGACTGTACTATGGGAGATAGTGCAATGAAGTGAGTGCACTATCAACTCGATTTTTGAACTCGATCAGGTTGGGTGCACTGACTACAGATTCTGGGAGAGCATTCCAGGCTTGGCAAACACGCACGGAAAAGAAATTCCGTCGACATTCCAAACGGCTGTACTGCACTGCCAGCTTCAGATGATGGCCTCTCAGATTGTTGTTGTTGTTACTGAGCTCCAGCAGATGGCGGCAGGTATGATTGGGGTCTGTCAGAATCTGATAAGCCAAAATCAAATCTCCCCGTAGTCTTCGATATTGACCACTAAATATCCTGAGCGATCTCAGTCTGTCTTCGTAGCGTAACTGGCTTAAACCTTTCACGTTCTTCGTTGCGCGTCGTTGAGGTTTCTCTAAATCAGAGAGGTCTTTCCTCAGCCACGGCTGCCAGACTTGTATTGCATACTCCACGTGTGGTCGTATGTATGCACCTAGAAGTTGGTGAAAGACGGATGGATCGAAGCGTCCAAATGTGCGCCGGAGAAGGCCCAAATTTCGAATGCTCACGTTCGATGCTTTCTTTGCCTGGGCTGAACAACCAAGGTCGGACTGAATCAAGACTCCAAAAGCATTGCAACAGAGAAATCTAACGGTGGACAAATGCATGGACATCTGCAACAGCGGAACGGTAACAGCTTTCCGATTTCGCCAGATAACACTTCACGCACTCTCTGAGCTGTGTTGTTACTCAGCT